AAAGTAGTGAGCTCATGTATCGATCATATAGCTGTTAGTGGAAATGCCAAAGACATAATCCCATTTATTCTAGAAAGCAAGATAACAGATCATTATTTAATTGGAATCTTATGTAATTTCACAAATAAAAAGATAGTTCTTCGAAATGTAACAAAAAAATATGAATTTATAAACAAAAGTAAACTAAAAAAAGAACTAATGAACTTAAATGAATTTAATCTTCAAACCTTAACAGCTAATGAATTGTACAAAGTAATAAAAAATGTATATGATAAAGCGTTAGTCTCTAAAGAATCTAACAATAGTAGAAAAAAGGTAATATTGAAACCCTGGAAAAACTCAGATATCAATGAACTGATAAAACAAAGAGATAACTTGTTTAAAAAATGGTAAAGGACTTCAGTCCAAAATAAAGAATTAAAAGACGTACTAAGAATAAATTTAAAAAAATCAGAAATGACATAACAAAGAAAATCCAGCAGCTAAAGAAAGAATATTTTAACAAACTATTTGATAACAGCAGAAACGACTTTAAAAACACTTGGAAAACAATAAATAAACTACTTGGTGTACCAGTGAAAAAATCTGTAGATGAAGTCGTAATAAGAAATTTAGGGAAAAGTAACTCAAAGAAACAAATAGTAGAAAGATTTGCTATCACTTTTCAACAACAGACAGAAGACATTGGACATGAATTTAACCTAGCAGTCCTGCCAAAAAACGTAATAACTCAAAGTAACTCTTTTTACTTGCCTGAAATCACACTAGAGGAAACTAGTTCTTTAATTAAAGGGATGGACTGTAATAAAGCTCCAGGAATTGACAAAATAGCTATAGGAGATGTAAAACTGAACAGCAACTTGATAACACCAATTATAACGAAAATTATCAACTCAAGCATTAATGAGGGAACTTTTCCAGATGAATTAAAAGTATCTATTATCAGACCAATACAGAAAGGAGACAGTCTTTCAATCTATGAAAACTATAGACCAATATTAAACACAATAAGTAAAATATTCGAAAAATACATATCGCAAAGACTGACCAACTACCTGGAAAAATATAAAATAATAGATAACAATCAATTTGCATATCAAAAAAAAAAAAAAAAAAGCACCACAGACTTATTGGAAAATCTAGGAGAAGTATTAAATGAAAAATTACACAAGGGATTGCATATGATAGCATTGAGCATTGACTTGTCAAAAGCTTACGAAGTAATAAGCCATGAAAAGATGTTAGATGCACTGGAAAGCATAGGGGTTAGAGGAAAAGTTTTACAGTTATTTAAAAGCTATCTAGAAGGAAGATCATTTAGGGTCAAAATAGATAATACTTATAGTGAAATAAAAACTGTGAAAAGGGGAATTCCACAAGGAAGTTTCCTAGGCCCTATACTTTATCTAATATTTGCGAATGACTTAAAAAATTATCTAGAAAATGGTTCCTATTATATTTATGCGGATGACAAGAAGCTATTATCTATAAACAGAGACCAAAAGAAGGCAGAAATGGAGTTACAGGGGAAATTTGAAATATTTCAAAAATAGTGCCATGATAAAGGTTTAATAAGAAAAAGACTAGAATACTGTATATTACAGCTCCAAAAATTGCAAGAGCACAAGTTAAAATATTCTTTCACAAAGCTGACTGCATACACAAAGACTTTAAGAACTGTCAATGTGATAATATAATTAATTCTGTAAGCAAACTGAAGTATCTAGGTGTAACTTTTGATCAAAATCTGAGCTGAAGGGACCACCTCTTGGAATTAAGCAAGAAAATCAGAACATGTGTTTGAAAACTAATGAGAATTAAAGATTTCGTGTCTTATAAAATTTTCAAATTGGTCGACTTCTCATTAATAAAGTCTCTGATCAGGTATGGAATTGGAGTATGGGGGGCTGCAGCAAAATCACATGTTGATATTATACAGAACCTACAAAATAAATGTATTAAAAGTATTAATGAAAAAATGAGCAGAACAAACCTAACACTGGAAGTGAGTGCAGCAATGCATGGAATCATGACTGTTAAAAAACTGTATGAATTTCAAATTCTGCAAAAAACCTTTTCAATGAAAAATTCAGAAAAATCAGTGGGCACAACTATGAAACTAGAAAAAAACACAATTTCATATTTCTAGACACTTTTAATAAATTTGGAGAGAGGATGCTTAACACAGCCATTCCAAAACTGCTGAATTCAATGCCAGATGAAATATTAAAAGTTACATCTAAATGGGAATTGAAAAAAAAAATTAAAAGAATGGTACACAAGATACTAGGCATAACAAGAAAATAGATAGTTCAGGAGTTATCTCTTTAGCTTGTTGCCTATTGCCATTTTGTTTTATTTACAATTTAGTTGTTAATTTAAAAAAAAATAGATATGTATTTTTGGGGGGAGGGGGAATTCTTTTATATTTTTGATATGTCAATACAAGTTTGTAAGATGTAAATTAAGTAAAACATAACTCGTTATGCCAGTTATTAACTGCTCTACTGTCATTACAAGATTTTATTGGGTTAATTATGTACAACTAAATCTTCACTGATACAGTAAACTACCTCATCACAAGATTCAAATTTGTA